GGTAAGAGATGATAATGGTTGAGACTTTGGAATGGTAGCCAGGATGATTTTGTCCTATTCTCCCACCACCTACTATCCAGGCCAGGGACATTTGGCAAGATCGAGATATTTTTGGTTGTCACAACCAGGGGGCTCATTAACTAGCACCTAGTAACTAGCATTGAGTGGGTAGAACCCAGGGATGCTGCAGTCATCCTACAGTAATGAACAGGACAGCCCTATACAACAAAGAGTTACCCAGCCCAAAATGGTCAAAGTGCCAAAGCTAAGAAACCTTGCTTTAGAGGAAGTGGGAAGTATCAGATTTGGGATGTATATTGGAACTAGAGACAACAGGATTTGAGTTTGAATATGGGGAATGGAAGAGGAATCAGTGATTCTAAGGCTTTTGGCCTGAGCACCTGAGTGAATGGTGGTATAGTTTACTGAGATGGGGAACTCTGGGAAAGAATAGATTCTAGGTGGGGGCCAGGTGGTAAGTCAAGAGTGGTTTTACTGGCAGGTTAATTGAGATGCATATTGGATATCAGATGATGATGTTACATAGGCAATGGCTGTTTTAAGTCTGGAGTTCAGGGGAGATGTCTGAGCTAGACCTATAAATGTGGAAATCATCAGAAGTAAGGTGGGATTTTAAATCAGTAGATTGCAAAGAGATCACCTAAGGAGTGAATGTACATAGAACAGGAGAGGTCAGAAGACTGAGCCCTCTGGGAGTCCAACATCCCAGACCAGGAAAGGAGGAAGAGCCAGCAAAGGAGATAGAAAAAGAGCAGCAGGGAGAGATGAAGAGAGCCAGGCAAGTATGGTGTCCAGGAAGCCAAGGGAAGCAAGCACTTCAAGAAGCATGGCTGGATCAACTCTGTTGAATACAGATGAGACTGAGAATTGCCCTCTGGATTTGCATCATAGAGCTTATTGGTGACCTTGACAGGAGCAGGTTCCATGGAGTGGGTTTAAGAGAGAGAAGGAGGTGAGAAAGTGCAAATAAGAATTATAGGGAATTCTTTCAAAGAGTTGTGCCATAAAAGGGGAAAAGATAACTTGCCAGTAGTAAGAAAGAGGATATGAATTCAAGGATGGAAAGATATTACAATGCATTTGTTTGGCTGAAGGGAAGATCTAGTAAAGAGTGGAAAACTGTTAATGGGAACCTCCATTGCATACTTTCTGCATCTCAGGAGCCTGCATTAGGCATTTAATATAGATTATTTAAGTTAACCTGTACACCAAACCAATGAGGTAGTTAATATTGTTAATCCCCATTTCAAAGAAGACCACACTGAGGCATGGAGAGGATCAGCTAGTTACACAGCCATGGTCATATGACTAGTAAGTGGGGGAACTTGGATGTGAGAGCCCATTTTTTTCTTCATCTGTATTCATCTTTTATTGCAAATTGTAACCACTGGCTAAAATTTATATCCATTATCATTTGTTCCCTCTTTCCAGAGGAAAACAAATGACTCAGCTGGAGAATATATTTGTAAATGATTTATCTGGTAAGGGTTTAACATCCAAAATATATATAAAACTCATATGCCTTAACACCAGAAAAACAAATAACCTGATAAAAAAGTGGGCAGAGGACCTGAACAGACATTTCTCCAAAGAAGAATTACAGATGGCCAACAGGCACATGAAAAGATGTTCTACATCTCTCATCATCAGGGAAATGCAAATCAAAACCACAATGAGATATCACCCATTGGATAGAATGGCCAGTACCCAAAAGACAAGAAATAAATGTTGACAAGGATGTGGAGAAAAGGGAACCCTCCTACACTGTTGGTAGGAATGTAAATTGGTACAGCCACTGTGGAAAGCAGTATGGAGGTCCCTCAAAAAACTAAAAGTAGAATTACCATTTAACAGTAATTCCATTTTTAGGAAGTTACCCGAAGAAAACAAAATCCCTGATTCAAAAAGACATATATGCACCCCTATGTTTATTGCTACATTATTTACAATAGCCAATATGGCAGCAACCAAAGTGTCCATCAATAGATGAATGGAAAAGAACAGGTGGTACATACATGCAATGGAATATTATTCAGCCATAAAAAAGAAAGAAATCCTGCCACTTGCAACAACATGGATGGACCTAGAGGGTATTATGTTAAGTGAAATAAGCTAGATGGAGAAAGACAAATACCATTATCTATGGAATATAAAGACAAAACAAAATAAAACAAAACAGCAGTAGACTCATATAGACACTGAGAAGTAACTGGTTGTTACATTGGGGAGGGGTTGGGGTGGGTGAATGGTGGGGATGAGAGGGATAAAAGGGCACAGAAATTCTCAGTCATAATATAGGTTGGTCACGGGAATAGTGATACAGCATGGAGGATACAGCCAATGATTCTGTAGTGTCTTCCTATATTGACAGATAGTAACTGCACTAGAGGGGGGTGAGGATTTAATAATATGGGTAATTGTTGAACCACCTGTTGTCTCTAGTTCCAAAATACATCCCAAATCTGATACTTCCCGCTTCCTCTAAAGCAAGGTTTCTTAGCTTTGGCACTTTGATCATTTTGGGCTGGGTAACTCTTTGTTGTATAGGGCTGTTCTGTTCATTACTGTAGGATGACTGCAGCATCCCTGGGTTCCACCCACTCAATGCTAGTTACTTGAAACCAATGTAAGATTGTATATCAATTACAAAAAAAAGACTTAGAGGAAGCAAATCTCCTGGAATTTGTATCTGACTGCTCCCACCCTACCTGCTCTGCTTCCGGGACAAACCTCTGTGATGGTCTCTATCCCACCACCAACTACCCCGACCCCACAATGTGTTCATTTACTTGTCGGTCTCTTGCAGTGGAGCAAGAGCTTCCCAAAGGCAGCAGCTGCATCTAATTCATCTTTCTTTCCTTGGCTGGTAGGACAGGCCCTCAAACAATAAATATCTGTCAAGTTGTTGAATGGATAGACAAATAAATATAAAGAGTTACCAGGAATATTGGAAACCACAAGACTGCTGAGCAATATTGGCACCTAAATGTGCAAACTGGATACGTGCAAAAGTGCTCTCAAAATGCAGAATGCAAAGGAATCCCTGAGGAGTGGGGGTTTGAGGGCGAGGGTGCTTCTTAAGAGGACTCTGCCCCCAGAAATTCTATTTAGCGTGCCTGAGGTGGAGTCCAAGAGTTAGCACAAGATGTTTCTTCCCTTTCCAAAGAATTTCATGCAATGAATCCACGGTCTTACCACTGGAAGTCCAGGGAATCAGGAGACTTTGATTCTAGTTCACATTTCCCACTTACCATGTATTAAAATACAGCATGTGATATTTGGAATCTGCTATATTACAAAAAATACTAATTATTTATATGAAATTCCAATTTAACTGGGCTCCTTGTATGGTTAATTGCTCAATCTGGCAATCTTCCAGCTGGGTGACCTTAGCCAAGCTGCGTAATAAACCCTTGGAGCTTCAGTCTCCTTATCTATAAAACAAAGAAATGTGAGCTTTCCTAATCACCATGAGGATTAAATAAGGTCTTCATGTGAAGTGCTTCACTGGCGAATAGCACATGGTAAGTGCCCAGTAAATGAGGTAGTAGAATTCATGACATTTACTTCAATTTCCTTCTCTCCTAGAGCATTAAAATATAATCCATCAAATTAGATTTATGAATAGCTTGTCAGAAATGCATTGGTTAAATGGTCAGTTAAGGGAGTCTGGGCAGCTGGCGGGATGCTGAGGTATGGAGAGCCTGAGTCAGCCCAGGGCCCCAAGGAGAGGGTTGATGCAGGGAGCATCCAAATTCTCATTCAGCCACTGATTTCTCAGTCAGATCCTGGAGTTTCCCCAAATTAGCAAACCAGTGAAAGAAGGATGTGATCCTTACAGAAGCCAGTAGGGGGGAGTGTGTACATTTTGGGATAGATGGGGACGTGGTAGGGGGAGTCCCACAGCCCCGGCAGCAGGTTTCACGTCCAGGTGGTGAACAGTGGAGGGCCTCAAGAAGCCCTGGGGAATGCACTGGTCCAGGGGAGAGTCAGGGAGGCCCCAAAGTGCCAATCAAATCAGCCTGTAGAGCACCACTCTTTTGGGCAGATTTGGGCATACCCTGTATAGAAAAAAAAGACTTTTTATGTTGAAAGACACCAAAAAGCCAAAAGCAACTGACAGACCAAGAGACAAAATTTGCAAACTGTGTAACACAGAATTCTAGACTGTGTAGAGGTTTCACAAATCATTAAACCAGACAATAAATAAATAAATAGAAATGGATGTCAGATATGAACAGACAATTCACAGAAGAAATACAAACAGCCAGTAAACATATAGGGAAAAAAAGATTAATCTCTAGGGACAGGGAAATAAAAATTGAAACAGTGCAGGGAGTTTCTGCCTTATTTTCTATGATTATCAAGGGGATTAACCTATTCTGTGCCAGGCATTATGCGAAGCGCTCTCTTAACATGAACTCAACATTTGGTCTCTGCAAAAATCTTGAGAAGTAGCAACAAACAGTACTCCCGATTATGAAAACCTGCAGCTCAGAGGGGTCGGTAATTTGGCTGGAATTCACTCAGCTGGAAGGGCAGAGTGCGGTTGGACCCAGGTTTGTGAGCTTCCAACTCCTTCTCCGCACAGGTTTTCCTAGGACTTCAGTCCCAGCAACATCTAATTCTTGAATATGGTGCTTTTGGAAAAGGCTCTGGTAGCTGTGAACTCCAAGCAGCCAAAGAACAGAAAAGTAAAAAACAACAAAAACTCAGAAAATCAGAAAGCCTTGGCCCTCAGGGAGCAGCATGCTTTGGCAGAGCGGGGAAAGTGGGGATTTGGGGTCTGGTGAGCTGGGCCTCTGGAAGGCCAACTGGGGGTGGGGTGGGGTGAGCAGGGAGCCAGTTCACAGCTGCATTCTAAGCAGGCTGGAGTCTGGCTGGCCTGAAGTTTCGCAGCCTTAGAAGCAGGAACCCAAGGAATCTGTTTGTCGGTGCACTACATGCTGAGATGCAATTCTCATTTCTAAACCTTCCAGGCCGGAGTCCGCAACTCCCTCCCCCATTCTCGCACCTGCTGGCAGCGGGGGGCTCCAATGAATGGACAACTTCCAAGAATTCTTGCCCCTTCCCCCACCTTTTACATAGCCAAACCCTGGGACAAAAGGCGCCGGGGGTCTGGGGCTCCTTCCTCGGCTCCTGCCAGCTCCGGTGAGTGCCAGACCACTGGAGCCTGCTCCACACTGCACCATTTACATTTTTTACAGCTCACCTACCTTGGCCATGGTCAGGACCACAGACCCCAGTTGCCCAGGAAACATGGCCAGAGCGGCAGGAATACTGATAAGGGCCCCATGCTGGAGTCCACATCCTAGAATTCTGGGCTGATGGTGCGGGGTAGGGTGGTGTGGGGTTTGGGGGGCTTTGTCCAGGACAAGACACCGCCCCCACATACCCGCAGGAGCAACCGGAAGTTGCTTCCCAGTGCCTTGTGATCTTGATTCCAGGCCGCACCCGGTGGCTGCCCTGTAGGATATTGGTCCCTATCTTTCTTGGATGGCTCCCTAACTGATAAATGCAGCTACTATTTATTGAGCACCTCCTGTGTGCCAGGGCCAGTGCTAAATGCCTTTGCATCTGTCTCCTCACTTAATCCTCACAACAACCCAAGGTGAAATAAGTATGGGCCCAATTTCCCCACGAGGAGAGAAGCTCAGAGGGGAGAGGCTCGCCCCAGGCCTCACGCAGTCAGCTGGCAATCAGCTGTCAGAAGGAGCAGCTGGCCTCCCCTCACCCCCACCCCGAGGGCGAGTCTGAGGACCGACTGGGCAACTCCTTCCTCAGACTCTCTTGCACAGCTCCTCAGTCCCTGCTGTTTACCGACTGGCTCCAAAACCCTATAGAAGCCCAGATTTTATTTTGAATACTCGTTCAACAGGGCGGGCCAGGAAAAGAGACAGTTATTCCTCCCCTTTGGGAGAAGCCCTGTGAAGATTCAGGCCTGGCTGGGATATGCTGCTCGCTGACCCTTTCTGTTTCTCACAGGCCCTGCCCCTGCGGACTGGGACCAGCTTCAGACGAAATGAGTGTTGGTTGATTCTAACTGGCATTTTTTGCCTCTCTGATAGCCTCCAGAAGGGCTGCAACTTCCTACTTTATGGACCAACATGTGATAGACATCTTTCGCTAGGCAATTAAACTCTGTGCCTTAGGCTACCTCCTGCCTTAGATGGAAAAACAAAATACAGCCAGGGAGGTCATGGTTCTAGTCAGCCCAGCCAGCCCTCAACCTCAAGGGGCCCAGCAGATCCGTCCCTTGAAGGGCTTGGAAGACACCCAACAAATGACAATACAAAATGCTTCCTTTGTTCATTTACCAAAACACAAAGATAAATATATAAGTATGTAAGTACTTATCTACGTATTATGGTCTTTGACTAAACAATTCTACTTCTTGAATCTTACAGAAATGTTTGCACTATATGTGCAAATGTGTCTCATGAATGTTGTTCGTAATAGTGAAAAGTGGAAACAACCTAAATGTCCAATTGCAAAGGATTGCTTAAATACATTATTGTATTCCCTATAATAAAATATTCTGCAGCTGTTAAAAGGTGTGAGGTATATGCTGATGAGGAAAGAGATCCATGACATTTTGTCCGGTGAAAAGAGGCAAGTAGCAGAACAATCTAGGTCATTCCATTTTTTGTTTTAAAAATGTATTTATGAAGGTAGAAGGTCAAGAGATCACTTTTTAACCTGAGGACTTAAGGCAGTGGTTCTTACCTTTACTGCACATTAGAATACCTGGGAATTAAAATATTCCAGAGACCCAGGCTCTACTCCAGACCAATTAAATCACAATCTCTTGGGGTAGGAGGAAGACATTTTTTTTTAACCTCCCCAGGTGATTCCAATGAGCCTCCAACTTGGGAAACACTTGAAGGAACCAAAAGAAAGGTTGATTCTGAAAGGAAAATGAGGTTGTATCCTCCTTACTTGAAATCTAAACATACATTACCTGCCCTGCTTTTTCTGGGGGAAAAAAAAGGGCCTGGGGTCACCTCGAATTATCACTGGACTTACATAAGCACTGAGTTGATTAAAGTATAGCCTGTAGTGATACCAACTTGAGGTGTTCTAAAAGTTCATCGCCTGACTTCAGGAGATCATCTCTTCAAGGGCAGAAAGAAGGGAAAGAGCCCATGTTGCTGCCATGTTCTGAAGGACGCGGGCCAGCACTTCATTAGCAAACCGGGAACACAAATGTATCACTCTCCACAGTGCCTGGGCCCAGAAGAGGTGTTCAATAAGCAGTAGCTTATTCATTTTCAGGAATGGAAGGAGCTCAGAGATCATGTTAGTGCCTGCTGAGTACCAGACACATATTCACTGGGTTGTACAGTCTTCCCAAACAAGCCTTTGAGGCAAACAATGATGTCCCCACTTTACAGGTGAGGAATCTGGGCTTTACGTGGGTTAGCATCTTGTCAGAAGCTAGAATTAAAAGCAGTTCTGTCCAACTCCAAATTGTGTGCTTTGCTTACCACGACACTCTTGTCACTTCTTAGGGATATTTGGGGAGGGGCATTAACTGTGATTAGGCCTCTCATTTCAGACTTGTTCTACATGTACCTTCTAAGGAAGGGAGTGTGTGGCTGAAGTTATAGGATTTCTCTGTTTAGAGATGGTGGGGCATCTTAAAAGATGATATGCAGAAGTGGTTCTGAGAGGTCAAAAGTTAAAGCCACACTATAACTTTCTCTCTGAGCACAAGGGGAACTTTAGGGGTTTTGGACATTTACTTTGCACTGCAGATAGATCTGGGCAGAGGACCCTTCCCATATCCTGCCCGCAAACATACCATTGCCTCCTCCCTCAAAGCACCTGCTCCTTACCAGTTTTCACACCCGTTTTTCCTGACCTGGAAGGCAAATTTATCCTCCTACCTCAGAGGACTGGGTGCTGCTCCTATTTTTTTTTACTTCCCTTAAAAAAGGTAGGTGCCCTTGAGCATTGTCCTGTTGTCTCTTCCTACCCCTTTTCACACTCTGAGTGTAATAGTCGAAAACAGGGATTTATTGAGCACCCACCATGCCCAGCAGTGTGGGTAGCACACTGGTCCTGCAGAGGCTGTCTTGGATCATCCATTGCTCCTCCACGTGGAGTGTCTGCTCCAACATCCTTGTCTCCTGGGCAGTGTGGCTTTCAGGTAACCTCAGGTATTTTAAATACAGATGGTCTGAAACAGTACTTTCCCCTCTTTTACATATTTAATCTTTCTATTCTAAAATTCTACACACCAAAATTGACAGAATGGCCTAATGGAGCCCACTGAATGAATCTATTTACAAAAAGAATGCATTCTTGTGGTAAAAAATGCAAACAGGACTGGAGTGTGCAAAGTAAAAGAGCCGCCTCTTCCCACAAACCTGCTCACCAGGGTTTCCCTGTTAGTTTGCTCTTTTCGAAGTCTTCTGGGCTTTCTACTCACTGAACATGTGTGCATACATATAGATTAGATAGATTTTGGCAAGTGGGATCATAAGATATATTTTATTCTGAACTCCCTCTTTAACTTGGCTACCTTCCAGGTTGGTTCATGTAGATCTAGTCCCATACTGAGAGCAAGTAACACAATTGACTACTTCCTCCTTTCTTCTTAAAATATTCTTTCTTGATTTTTTCTTCTGCTTCCCCCCACCCCCTCTCCAGCTGTCTAAAGGCTGGTCCTTTTTCTCCCTCCCCGCCCCCACTTTTCCATCTCTCTTCCTCTGTTATCTCTTCCACTCCCTTGGCTTTAGATCCCATCTCCATGCTAACAAATCCCAGACTTACTTCACCTTCACCAGGAGCACTGCAATTTTTGTGCAATTTGCTTTGTTGGTTTTAAGCCTATTCAAAACATACTTGGAGAATGTGTATTGGTGTTTGCTTTTACTTACAAAAAGAAACTTTGGAAAGAAACTAATAAAAGTAGTTACCTGGTGTGACAGTGGGGAGTGGAGGGAATTGGGAATAAACTAACCAAGATCAAGGGCACCAGGCCTGAGAGTAAGAACACAGTGAGTAGGAGACTTCAGGTTTGGCCTGTGGTCTTGCCTCCTTTCTAGGGATGAACTAGAGGTGACAGAAATGCCATGAAATTAGGAGGAGAGGACCACAAACTTTAGGCACTTTGTTTGAGGGCCTAGCTGGGCACCTGAGCCTGTTCCCTTGGGGTGGAGTCGGGTTGGGGGAATGAGGGGAAGGGTTAGTCATCCACAAGCCTGCCTCCCTCTCCAGGTAAGTTCCCTGAAGACAGCAGCTGTGTGAAGCCCATCACCCCACAGGCACCTAGCAAAGGCCCTGCAAACAAGGTAGGTGTCAGTCCACGTGGGCAATGACTGCCACCAAGGCACCTTTGCAGCTCTCCTCCTGGCGAAGGACAGGGCTACCTGCTCTCCGCCTAAGAGGTAATGCGACTTGCAGGTAACTTTCCTTCCCCTTGCTTCCATACAGTGATTCTCCCACTTCTCAAAAATAAATATTTAATCTTTCTATTATAAAACTCAACACACCAAAATTGAGAGAATGGCCTAATGGAGTCCACTGAATGAATGGTAAGATGAACTCTTGATTCAATAATTACCAACATTCGTGCCATATGTATACTTTATCCTTTCTTTGTCTTTTCCTCTGATTTTTAAGAAGCAAATACCTGAGGTCCTGCTGTTTTATCCCTAAATTCTTTCGTATGAATTTGTAAGTGTAGGACATTTCCTTACTACTTTCACTTCTAGCAAATTTAACATTTTATTCCTTAGTATGTGCTAATACTCAGTCTATATTCAAATTCACCACAAAATTAAATGACTTTGAAGCTCTCAATAAGGCCAGACTGGAGCTGCAAAGGAAACCAGAGGAGCTGGTATCAGCCTGGCAGCCTTCTCAGCACAGCTGTCTGAACAATGCCAGTGTCCAGCAGTGAGCAGCTTCACACAGACTTCTTCCTTCCCTTGGAAACAGCTCGTATTGAGCACCACTATCTCCCCACCTGGGCTGTGGTTTCTGACTGAAAGATACTACACTAGCTCTTCATGCGTCTCCCTCAACCCCAAGCATATGCCTGCATACAGTTAAGTTCTCAACTAATTGTGATTTGAATTAATAATCATATTTCCCTGAAACTAAATGTTTCTTCATAGCCAAGGAATGACATCACTATGTAATTGAATCATTTGAATAAAATGGATATCATTATCCCCATTTGGTAGATGAGGAACCTGAGGGGCAGATGTGTTCCCTCAAGTACAAAGTGGAGTAGCTGATTTAACTCAGGTTGGTCTGACTCCAGAGACTGAGTAGTCATTGCTCTTTTGGCAATTGCCAAGGGACTCTGGAAGGGGAAGTAAAGGCCTGAGTCCTGGGTAAGAGAGAGGGCCAAGAGAGGGTAAAAGGGAAAGAGTCGAGGAAGTGGGGAGGGGAGAAGAAAAGAGAGGGAGCAAAACACAAAGAAAGGGAACTAGGAGATTATGATGTCATGGAGTAAACTAACAGCCACTGGATGGGTGGCCTTTGTGTGCAGTAAACACAGTAGGTATTTGTTGCGCTGTGGAATGAACAAGAAGCCTTTTAAGCCTCAACCCTCAGACTCTGGAGTCTGGAGTCAGGTCTGTAGGCATCACTGTGTCCTCAGGGCTGGCCCTGGAGCTGGCACATGGGAGCTCACGTATCTGTTGAATGAATGGCAGTGAGTCAGTGAATGTATGAATTTACAAATAGCTGAATAAACAAGTGATTGGATGAATGATGGACTAATATAAGAATTATTTAAGAAGGCAGTGAGTGGATGAATTAATTGAATGGACAGAGGGATGAATTCTTTAAATCTCTATACAAAGAGAATGAGAGAATGAGGGAAGAGAGCTGAATCTAATAGCGTCATTTACTGTTTTATCATTAGATCTGTGCTGAGAACTTCATAAGCCATATTTCATTCAATCCTCAGAGTATTATCATCATTTTTTAAAAATGAGGAATTAGGTCTGGAGACATGAATAAACTTGTCCAGATGAATAAACTGGAATTTCACCCCTGCCATTATATTTTGAAGCTCAGAGTCTTCACCACCCAGTCTGTGCACAATAAATATTACACTCAACACAGGACTTGTTTTTTGGAGCTGATGCAAATACAGGTGAACCCCACTTATACAATCCCTGGGAAGCTGTAAATTTAAACATGGTTAATTACTTAGCTTAGCTCATTATTTAAAGGAAGCTTTTCTATTGTATGTCTCTTTATAAGTGAAGGATTACCTCCAACTCATCTGCTTCCTAAATCTGAATTTTGTCCAAAGCAAGGTACATATTAACTGCAGATGTCTAACTGATAGGAGTTGGCTTAATTATTGCTGGGAATCTAGGATTTTTGGTATTTGGGTACCTTATGACCAGGCTCTCAATTTTGTGATACCTCATCTTAACAATTTAAATAAAAGTAAATTAAAATTTACCAAATCTGGAAACCATTAAAGAAAAGACAACTATGTTCAATACATGTAAAAATAAAAAGATTTTCTTCAGGATAAAAACTACCACAAGCAAAGTCCAGTTATAAACCACAAACTCAGAAAAAATATTTCTAATTCCTATCATGGACCTAGGGCTCTCTCTCTCTCTC